TAACAACAACAACAAATACAAATTCAAACAGATTCTTTCAATTTATCTCACCCCCTCAATCCAACAAATTGTACAATCCAATGATTAATCCCTCTTCCCCCTGCACATCCACATCCCTCTGCTTCCAGCCTCTCCCACCCCTCCTGGATCCTTATACTCGTTCTACAACAACGGTCTTATACAATATTTATCCTTGCGGGACTGAGTTAGTTCACTCAGCATCATACTCTCCAGTCCCTCCCAAGTTAGGTAATAATTTACAAAAGCATTACTCCTGCGTGCTGCATAGTATTCCATGTGTGAATGTATCATAATTTCTCAATCCATTCATTTGTGGTTAGGCTTTTGGGCTGTTCCATGTTCTTGCGATGGTAAATAATGCTGCTATGAACATTGGCGTACAATTCTCAGTTTGTGCCTCAGTTCTCATATTCTCAATGTATACTCCAAGTAGTGAATAGCTGGATCATATGGAATTTTTATGTTCAGCTTTTTGAGGAAGCACAAAGAATGAAGTATTCTGAAATTCTGGGGAAAGAAACATTGGAGAAGCTTTATTCCATCATCAACACTCTTGGCACTAGCAGCCAGGAAATCAAAAGATGACTTGGATTGGGAAAGCCTGATATTAAGTACCTCTCCAGAGTGCTGAAGTGTAAAGTTGTCAGTCTAGAGACTTAGGTGCACCTGATCCAGGCCATGTTACTTGCTATGCATCAGACAGCTAGACAAAGAGTAGGGATGACAGAAGAAGAATTGATACCTTTGAGTTGAAGGAGAAGAGTATTGACTATACCATGAACTGCTAGGAAAACAAACGGGTCTGTCCTGGAGAGAGTGAGAATAAATTGTTCTCTGAAGGCAAGGATTTTGAAGCTCAGTCTCAGTTACTTGGGGCTTGTTGTCAAAAGGGACAAGCCCTTGGAGAAGAACATCATGCTCAGAAGGTTGGAGGAACAACACAGGAGAAGACCCTGGATGAGATGGAATGACACAGTGACTGGGACAGTGAGATTGGATCTGGCTAGGAAAGGGTTCTGAGCTTCTGTACATAGGGTCACTATGAGTCGCAGGTGACTTGATGGCACATAACAACAACAACAGCAACAACAATGAGTCTACAATTTACTTAAAAGAATTTAAAAACTAGTTATTCCTATTTGTTGTTATGTTGTTCAAGTTGTCTAGAACTCATAGCAATCCTGTGAAGAACAGATTAGAACCTTGTCCTATCCTGCACTATTCTTATGATCTTGGTGATGCTCAAGTTCACTGTGATTGTTACTGTGTCCGTCCTTGATGAGGAAGGATCAACCCACTGCCTTTCCCAGTATGGTGTCTTTTTCACCGAGAACTCTCCTTTCCTGACAACATGCCCAAAGTATATGAGACAGAGTCTCACCATCCTGGCCTCTAATGGGGACTCGGGTTTTACTTCCTCAAAGACAGATTTGTTCATTGTTTTGGCAGGCCATGGGGTATTCAATACTCTTTGCCAATTATCACTGTCCAAAGGTGTTGATTCTTTCTCCTCCTTCCTTATTCACTGTCTAGTTTTCAGATGCCTAATAAATTAATATCCAGTGGCTTTGAGCAGGTGTGCCTTGGTTTCTAAGCCGACATTCCTGCACTTTATTAAGCATGTTGGCGAGGTCTCTGACAGCATGTCTTCCCCCTGCAGCACGTTGTTTGATTTCTTGACTGCTGCTACCGTGGGTGTTGACTGTGTGTCCAAGTAAAAGGAAACGGTTGATAATGTCTATCTTTTCTCCATTTAGTTTGTTGTTAGTTATTTGTCCAGTGCTGAAAGTTTTTGTTTACTTGATGTTGAGCTGTAATCCATTTTGAAGGCTGTAATCTTTTCTCTTCAAGCCCTCTTTCTGCAAGCAAAGTTGTGCCATCTGCATAACACAAGTTACTGATGCGTCTTACCCTAATTAAAATTTTTATTCCTGTATGAATATTAAAAAAATAAGTGAGCACTTCCAAACTGAAGAGATAGCCTGCCTGTGTCCCTTAAAGTAAATGTTATTTACTCCAGGAGAGCCTTTATCCTTGGAAGGTACTGAACCCCAAAACAGCATTTGTATTTATACCCTGCTTTATCATGAATTCATGGAGCCTTGGTGGTGCATGGCCACACATACAACTACCAACTAAAAGGTTGATGGGTCAAACCTACCAGGCACTTCACAAAGGAAAGATGAGTGCTTTGCTTCTGTAAGGATCACAGTCTTGGGAACCTAACGGTTCTTCTCTGTCCATTAGTGTTGATATGAGCTGGACTTGACTGCAGGATTTGGGGGGGCTGGTGTTTTCATTCATGCCATATTTAAACTTCACAATATTATTCTACGAGGTGGCAATTCACCCACCCTCCCCCATGTCCTCAACATCATTTCTCGATTGTAATATTTACTTACTAATGATTTTTTAGTCTAGAGCAAGAAATTTTTCTCCCTAGTATTTTACATATCATATGTTTTCTTTTACGTAGCATGGCTGCATATTTTTCTTGCTAAGTAATTGTCCATTTATGTAATTGGTGAGCTTGGTGGCAATGACCATAGACATAATGAATGTTTTTAGTAAATTAGCAAATTGTAATTGAACTGCCAGGAAGTTTGTGCTCCGTTTGGCTGAGACCCTGGCCCCCAGAGGGGACTAAGGACCCGTGAGCCCTCTGGTCTACATCTCCTGCCCAAGTGCTTACTGAGAGCCTGTCCCTAGAAAGGGACAAGCCTGAGCCCCCGGAGTAAGCCTCGTTTCTCACTCCAGGATCATCTCTGCCCAGGTCCTGCTGGACAGTGCTGTCGGGGCCGCACTTGGAAAGATGTGATGTTCTAGACATCACCAGTCACTGTCATTTCCAGCTTCCAGCAGCCCAGAGCAGAGCAGAGCAGAGCTGGGCTCAGTGGAGTATTCATGGAAATATATCACCAGGCCCTTTTTCTCAGGCATGTCTTCACGTAAGACGTGCAGTGTGTTAGGTGTCAGCACCACAGAGGGACCAAGGTATCACTGAATGACCATTAGTTTGGGTATTCTCTTTGCGAATCACAACTCTCTTAGACTAAGCTTGCTCAGTGTTAAGTGATGCTAAATAAATGTATGTAATGCTTTTTTGTGTCCTTCTGCTGTCTCCTGTCAGAAATGGAATGGGAAAATAACCAGGAAGGAACTGCATAACATGTTGAATAACAATGCAGTAAAAATCAGTGATGCAGAATTCAAAGAACTCATGGAAAAGCTTGACCCGGAGGCCACTGGGCTGGTCAACGTCAACACCTTCCTGGGCCTGCTTGAAGAAGAGAACAAGAAGGTCAGTTTTATAACAACATGGTCTTTGTTTTCTGGTTTGGTTGTTGTTGTTTTTCCCCCATTGGTTTGCTTGCCAAGTTTGTAGACATTGTGTTTCTTCAGGGAAGACACTGTTCTTCATTGTGTTTCATGCATTGTTGTTGCTGATTATGTTTGAGTGGAGCACGACTCAGAGCAAGACTCATAGTGACCCTGTGAACAAAAGGCCTGGAGGCCCTCTGTCAACCTTTATCAAAGTTCATAGAGTTTCCAGAGGCGTGTTGTTTAGGAAGTGGATGCCACTCCTGCTTTCAAATCTGCCATAGAATGTTATTGCTGTTACGGGCCCATTGAGCCACCTTCTGTTTTCTAAAATGAACCATCATTGGGCCTTGCCCATCATTACTCTGCCTTTTCACCCAGATCCTTCCCATTTCCTTCCCTCCTCCCTCCACCCACCAAACTGTGCAACCCTGTGGTTTCACACCTACCCATCTCCACCCTCCACTCCCTCCCCTTCCCCACTTCAGTTCCCATACAGGTTTTGTTCTGCCCATGAAATGCCCCTCAAAGGAAATCCAAATACACACATGTAAATACAAGAGCGTTTATTCTCCAGAATAATTCCACATGTGGAGACTTTCCCCCTCAGTAGGAAGGTGGCGAGGGAAAAAGCCCCCAGTCCCTCCTACCCAATTGTTTTTAAGGCCTTCCTGGGCGCCACTGTCAGGGCAGGGAGATTGAGATCATGGTTGGTGGGTCAGGGGATCAGTCATGTGGGTCGGCTTTTGACCAGCTGGCTACTTTGTCTGCCTTTACTCTTTTTGTGTCACGTTGACACTAGTTAATTCTTTACTTTGCAAGGACAGATAAGACTTTATCCGGCACATTTGTGTTTGCTTTAAGCTAAGAATTTTTATGGCCCGCTTCTGCTTCTGGTATTAATGGGGTGTTTTTTTTTAAAAAATGGGGTTTATGTTGTCCCCTCAGTTTTACTAGTTATCCTTCTATTTTTACAATAATGGTCTTCTGTTTTAAGACATGAAGACTTTCATGTTCTTCCTGAAGTAAATGGTGCAGGGGAACTGTGGCTTGAGGAGGGCCTGGCCCAGCCTGTCTGTGAGTCATGTCCATGTTAACTGGGAGTTCAGTCCTTTCCTCTCTCCTTTTAGCCTCCGAATCTCACGGGTGGGTGACTGTGGACCCCCCGACCCTGCAGCAACATGCCCCTCGCACCCCTGTCTTAGAGGGGTCTCTGCCAATCAAAGCACCCTGGCTTCCACTCATGTTGTGGTTCCATGATTAAATACTCACCTGCTAACCAAAAGATTGAGAGTTCAGACCCCTCCAGGGCTTCCTCAGAAAAAGAGACCTGGTGACCTGTTTACATTAAACGACTGAACTGGAAAGAACCAAGCCCAGTGCCATGGAGTTGATTCTGACTCAGGGAGACCCTGCGGGGCAGAGTGGTGTGGCCCCCAGAGTGTCCAGGTCCACCTTCACGGAGGCAGACCGCCCCCCAACACCTTCTGCCTGCTGCGGTGTGCCCTGGGGGTCTGACGGGCAGACCTTTGAGTTATCAGTGGGATGCTTTAATCACTGCGTCACCACGGCCCTCCGCCCTGGCGCTCACGGCCCAGGACCTCCACCGCAGCAGTTGTTGGCTGTCATTCATACGAGGTCACCATGCGTGGAAGTCAGCTCAGTGACACCAACAGTGACAACATCCCTGGGGCTCTGATTGCCGAGCCAAGTACAAGGAGAACCTTGGCAGATGATTTTTTCCCCTCCGTGTTTCGTAAGCAACCCACATTGAAGGGCATCCTATAAAAGACACGATCCGTCCTTCATGCCTGGCCGTCGGCTCCCGTACAGAAGGCAGCTCGGGGTCCTGGGGGACAGGGGGAGGGCAGTGCTCTGCCACACTGTGCGCGCTGTGTCGGGATCCACTCCATGCAGAAAGCAGCTCGGTGGTCCCGGGGGGCAGGGGTCCCGGGGCGCAGTGCTTCTCTGCCACACTGGTTCACACTGTGTCAGGATCCGCTCGAGGACCCACAGCAGGGACACATCCTATGCTGCTTCCCCTTAAAAAAGAATAACTGAGCGTTGACACAGGGAGCATCACTTCCTTTACTGTTTATTACTTTGATGGAAAAGTTGACCAAGGAATTCATATTAGAGATGCATCTCTGGTTTTAATAGCTGTTAGCATTTCAGTTTTAAGAAATTTGAACATTAATTTCACGTAACACCTGCAGTCTGCATTAACTGCCCTTGTAGAGTGTTCGTGGACTTCTCCTCGGTCGCAACAGAACCGTCCAGTGTGACTGAGGCTGAGAGAGCCTGGGTGCAGCCTGCCAAGCCCCAGTCTCCCCTGCAGCCTGGCTGGTATCTACAATTCTTCGTGTTCCCCAGAAACTTGGGGCGCTCTGGTTCCTGCAGGGACCCCTCCACACCCTTCTCTGTCCAGGGGGGCCGTCCTGCAGATCTCAGAGTGCCCAGCTCCTTCTGAGAGCCCATGTGTCTCCGGCTGGGCCACACCTTCCCATCAGGGTCCGCCCATGGTGGACAGGTACTGTACCTCCTGGCGCTGTCTTAGACCACATTCTGCTGCTGTTCATTGGGGTTTGGAGGCCTTGTCTTTTCAGAACCGGTGGCTGGTCCTGCTTCTTGGTCTGCAGGCTCCATTGAAACCTGTCCACCTTGGGGACCCTGCTGGTATTTGAAATACCAGTGGCTTAGCTTCCAGCACTTCAGCAATACATAGCCACCACCGTGTGGCGACCTGGGAGATGAGTGGTGGGCGTTGCCTCTACATTTCATCTACATGAGATTCCAGTTAATTTGGCTGCTGCCTCCCCATAGCACTCACTGACCCACACAGCTTATTAGAGTGTCCACAGGACACTATCACTTGATGCAGCAAAAACATTGTTTGATGCTCTTGAACCTCCAGGAGCTGGCACTGAACTCCATAGCAGAGTTTGGCCCTACTGTTTGCAGAAGCTTCTGGAACAGGCTTCATGCCTTCACAGTTAGTGGTCGTCCATGTGCTGAGAGGGATTCGCCTTTGTGTTGGTCCCCAGTGCATGTCATGAGCAGTTTATGGAGAAATTAGACTGAGGACCCAACACAGAAATGATGCACTATTACTTGCAGTAAGTGAAAAAGACTTGAGCCACTTACTGAAGAAGATAAAAAAGAGATAGTGTTCATTCAGCATGAACTATACCTCAATATCCCCAAGAAAGCAAAAATTCTCACACTGGGCCAGTAGGCGACATCATGATCAATGGTACAATGATTGAAGTTGTCAATTATTTCATTTGCTTGGGTTTGAAATCAACTCTATGGTGGTAACAGTCAAGAAACCAAAAGCTGTGTATCTGCTGTCAAGGACCTCTTGTGCCAAAGAGCAGGGATGTCAGTTTAGACGGAAGTGTGCCTGAACCACGCTGTGATGTTTCCCACTGCTTTCTTTGCATGTGTAAGTTGGACACTAAATAAGGAAGACCAGAAGAATCCATGAATTGTGCTGTTAATGAAGAATGCTGGATACCCCATGGACTGTCAAAAGCCCAAAGACACCTCTGTCTTGGAGGAAGGCAGTGCACCCTGGAGTCATGGAGGTGAAATGTCCCCTCATCCACTGAACACTGTCAGGAGGTCCCAGTCCTTGGAGAAAGACATCGTGCTGGGAGAAGTAGAGGGTCCTTGAAAGAGGAAGACCCTCTCAGCACAGACTGCAGCTCTGGGCTTGAGTGTGGGGGAGACTGTGAGTTTGGAATAGGGTAGGGTGAGTTTTCAAGCTGATGTTCATAGGGTCACTAAGATTTTTATTCCAAGCTTGGGAGCAGGAGTGGCATCCACTTCCAAAATAGTTTGCCTCCAGAAACTCTATGAACTTGGAGAAACGATGAAAGTTATCCAAGTGTTCAGGTCTTTTGTTCATAGGGCTGTTATGAGTTGTCTACGACTCGACATCACTTAACAACACCAACACCAACGCAGAGTGAGCTCTGTGGGCCTGGTGGATAGGATGTTACCAAGCCCAAGGTGGATGATTTGAATCTGCAGCCCTCAGGCCTGGTTTTAATTCTTTTTGGTCAAACAGTCTTCTGAATGGTATAACACTGGTCTGTCCACTTGCTGTACAGAGCTAACTCATGGTTGCTGTGATGATAAACACTGTGACACTGATGTGCCAAATGTGTTAAAGGTTACCCATGGTGGGCAGTGTTTGGTGGAGCTCCCCTATTAAAACAAGCTTGGAAGCAGGGGTGGCATCCACTTCCACAATAGCTTGCCTCCAGAAACCCTTGGAGAAATGATAAAAGTTATACAGTTGTTCTGATCTTTTGATCGTAGGGTCGCTATGAGTCGTCTATGACTTGATGGCACTTAACAACAACAACAACAACAACCACCACAGCATCTTACAACCACTAGAATATTTTTAACATGGAAGAACCCACTACCTTATTCTGGAAGCAAATGCCTGAGTGGACCTTGATGCTCCAGGTGGCCACGGTCAATGCTAAACTTTAAGGTTTTTAAAGACAGGGTGACAGTCAATGCAGTCAGGAGGCAACATTGCTGACTACAGGTTCAAGTTGTTGACAGTTTGGTGTAGTGAAAACCCAAAGACCTTCAAGAATAATAACAAGCACAGCTCGCCAGCTTATCACCGGCAGGAGGAGCAGCCTGGACGGCACGCGTGCTGTTTCTGACCCCTTCTCTGCCACGCCAGGGAAATGGGGAGCCACAAGGAAGAAGGCCTGCTTTCCAAGGCTCTGCTGATTTGAGGCAATGCCACAGGGTCACCCCCTTTCGTTAGTGACCTCCACTCCCATGTCAATGTGGTGTTTCTCCCCCAAGCACCACCTCTTTAATCCAGCCGGTGGGGCAAGGGGATGTGGCAGCGTTCAAGGCTCGAAGACCTTTGCTCAGACTACTGCTGCAGCCAATGACCCCAGCAAGACGCCGGGGCAGTCCTGGGAGGACCCCACCATGGACCACAAA